CTCCCGAACCGGTAATCTCTAGTTATGACAAATCAAGTCTTTAACTTAATTTTCATTGTTAATCTTTAATTCCTCATTAAAAATTAAGTGGCAACTCTATACTAGTTAAAGCAAGTTGGCACAACATTAGTGTGGAAACGAGAGTCCACACTAAGTATTATATGAATTAAAATCTCAAGGGAGCTCAATGCTATTATGTCAAAACTGTAGAACTTACTGTATTTTTTATCAAATATCAAGACTGGTCAGTGTAATTTATACTTATTATTTTGGTTATGACCAAAAACTTCTCTAGTTATGACTAAGATGGAAAACTTTTATTATTTTGGTTACTATATTTTGGTTATAATTATGACCCATTATACTTTTTTTTTTTTAATTATGACTCAAAGTGATTTAGTTATCATCAACATCACAAATGTCATAATTTATATATGGTATAAAAAATGCAATATATATATATATATTGTGTATAATGATCCAGTGTTTTATATCTCTTTTAAGGAAAATGATCTATCTCTACAAAAATCTCCCATAAAAGAACTCCTTCATATATTCTAACCGGTAAGAATTTAGTGCTACAAAGTAAGTGAATAGACTCTTACCGGACATTTATGAGAGACTTTTGTGAATATATAAGACTACTCTTTTAATATGATTTAAAATTGTTGTAAAATTATTTAAATGTAAACTCAAAATAAGATATGGAACGGTAGTTATTTTTTAAATCCAATAACTAATAGTTAGAATGGATAGCACCTTTTTTTAGGTGTGTACATTAATCTTTGTCCAAAAATTAATATATAAATTTGCACATTTATATGTACCTACTTAAATATGTAGGTACATATTGCTCCTATCAGAGCTCAATTTTATTTATAAAAAATGTGAACAAAATAAAGAAAAAGTTTTATAATTAAATAGATAAATAGTGTGATCCTCTAATTAAATAGGTTTATCACAATATTTTTATCAAATATACATAGTAGGGTAAGGCGTGAGTTGGTTGCGGCCACAGAACCTCCAATCCGTCATCCGTCACCAGATTAGCGGATCGGAGAAAATCAATATGCATCCATTCGCCAATCCAGTGGATGTAGATTGAGCGGATTGACGGATGGATGCGAATCGGTTTGGCAGTTTTAAATTTTATAAATTTTCAACATAATTCTAATTGTGCGCTTTCTCAAAAAAGAAAAAAAAAAGTGAAAAACCTAAGTGATTCGTGATTCAACTCAAGATTAATTATACTAGTTCCCAAACAATTAAAACTAACAATCTAAATCATCAAGCACGTATGAAAGTGATTTAGATTGTTGTTTCAAAAACAATAAACCGACACAAACAATTTTTACGTGGAAAACCACAATTGAACCACCTCCAATTGTGATTAAAAAACCACGGGCGAAATATCACAAATCAATCCACTATGAAGGAAAGAAAGAATACAAAATAACCAAACAAATTATCCAAACTCTGTTGATTTTTCTTCAACGATTTGTATCTCTTCCACTGCAACCTTTTTCTCAGAATTGATTAGATTAATGTTGATTCCACAACATCCACGTCGACTTAACGACTGCGCACAGCTTAGAACACCTTCGAACACTCCACGCTTGAATCTTTAGATTCCACCGAAGAATAACACTCTTGAAGATGATCACTCAAACAACCATTTGATGTGAATTGTTGAACCATGTGAGTTTAATACTCAAGCATACATCAAAGGAAAACTAGTAAAATAGCCCCAAAAGAAAACCCTAGAGCCCTCAAAACAGATCTGGAAAACTTAACCCTAAAATGGACTGAACCAAATACTTATAGAAAACAGGGGCAGCGAAGGTCGCACAAGCAAAGACTCTCTCGCTCGAGTGAGGAACCAATTACGTGTGTTTCTTAAGTGGCGTCGCTCGAGCTAAGCTTCCTTCGGTCGAGCGCACAATCTTTCTTCCCAGAATATTTGCAGACAAAGAAAACTTTTGGGAGCACAACTTCTTCGCTCGAGCCAGGACTTCTTCGCTCGAGCGAGCAAGGCAAAACAACCAGGAAACTTACAACTCGATAAATAATGTTTGTTCATGGGATTGACATAACTAAGGGACCTAACAAAGAGTATTACAGTTAATGATTTAAAAAAGTATTACAATCACTACATGTCTCATCCAAAGAAAGAAAGTTTGAAACTTTAGAATATTACAATCATTGCATGTCTCATCCACATTTACAATTACAGCATGTCTTTTCCACATAAAGTATTACAATATGTGGTTTTTAATATATAAAAACAATTCAAACCACCAAAACTATGAACGGAGCAGTAGTAGAGATTGTATGGCTTTGTATTGTTACATCTATATCTGTTTTTGAAAATAAAAATCAACCAGCATATATCATCTATTTTATTTATTATTTTTAGAGTTAGATTTAAAAACTAAAAAATATAGATAAATAATACATTTATTTTTTTCAATTCAAAAAATATATTCAAGTTGAAAACTCTTTTTCAATAGAATATATTCAATAGAATATTTAAAACTCTTTTTCAATTGAAAACACAAATAGAATATCTAAACAAATTGAAAACACAAAGTTTTACAAATTATTAGGGGTGCTTGTGGTTTGGCCGTTCGGTTGCCACCAAATGAACCTCAAATCCGTCATCCGTCCAAAACTAGGCGGATTGAAAAAAATCAATCCATAACTGTCCGCTCGTCATCACGCTACCGACTGCTTGTCATCACGCATTCATCCAAAATGCGATGAATCGGTTCGGTTCGGTTGGTTTTGATAGATCGATATATCCGCCGCTCACCCATAATATATAGATGGATTTTTGTTCACATTATAATAAAAGTAATGCTACACTTTATAAAATATATATATATCTCAAAAAAGTATCATGAAAATTATTCACAATTAGATTAGTGTATGATGTTTTATAATAATAATAGTTTTATTTCCATTAGAGCATAACCACAGCAGCCACCATTATGCTGGTGTGGTAGTGATGGTTGTGGTGGATGGCAGGAGAAAAAGATAAAAAGAGAAGCATATGTGGTGGCAAGGTTCCTAGTCGGTGTTGGGTTATTTTTATTTTTATTTTTTGAACATAGCCACTATTGGGGTTATTGATCATGGAGTTGATGACTTGGCTCTTAACGAGTGGGAGCGGTGGATCAGGTAGGATTTTGCAAAATATTGCTTGATTCGTTAAAATTAACTAATTCGTACCAATTCATCTACTAATCGCGGATTAAATTTTGAAATTTATAATCTGCCTTTGAAAACCGCTCTACTCCGTTATAGTTAATACATACATTTTTTTTCAACTTCTAATAAAATATCAAAGTAAAAATGAGTGTGAGAGAAATTTAATATGTAAAATTTGTTACAAATTAGTAATTATATATATAAATTATTATGTAAAATTAATTTGTGTTATATATATGAAAATATTATGTAAATTAGTGTTATATATTATGCAAATACTTAATAGTTGTTTACTAAATATTTTTCAATCAATTAGTAAATTGAAATCATCCCAAACCGCTCAAACCATTTGATTATTTGCCAATTTGTTATTTACGGTTTGATTTGTAATTTTATTTTCAAACCGCAACGTGCACACCCATGAGATCAAATGAGTCGTGAGTTAATCAAATAGGGCAACCATCTACCAAAAGAGCAACATGAAGTCGAACACTGCGAGAAGACATCCACACCATTGAGCCCTCCTCTACAACCCTAACATGAGCTACCTCATGCCCATCCTTTACTCATTTCACACAACTGACCTCACATGACCTAAATTGGGAGCATAAATGAATTACATCTTGAATCACCACACCACTGTAACACTTTGATCCACAATTCCCTCGACCTCCGATTCATGTCCATCATAGCTTGTGCATTACCTTCTAACACAAACAAATTGAACCCCCAATCTCAAGCCAAACCTTAACCCATCCCTTACTACCATTGCCATAATTACCATAAGCATAACACATTAAGGAATAGAAGCAGGCCGCCATGGCAGACATAAACACTCCTTTCTACAGTCACGTACTATTGCGATTCAACACAAACTTAGAGTTTTCCACATCATTAGAGAATCTTGAAGATTCTAGAAAGTTATATGGAAATCCAGAAGACTCTACAACATCTTAGAAGAATTCAAAATATTGGAGAAGCTTAAGGTAATCTAGATGGTTGTAGAAGGTTTTAGAATATTCAAGAGAAATATAGAAAATTTTAGGATAAATTAGAAATACATCTCTTGAGGTTTGATTAAAATACGAATTGCCCCCTCACTGCAACAAAATTGAATTTTTACGACTTGCAATGCATGCCGTAAAAACTCTTTCATGACATGCACACAAATGTCGTTATATGACATGTCATGGAAAGGTAATTGTCATTTACGGCATACATGTAAAGTTGTAAAAAAAAACATTTATGACATACTTTGTATGCCGTATATAACCTTTTAGACATTTTTTTTGCATGTCATAAATCATTATACTTTTTACGGTATAATTTTGCATGTCGTAAAATGTTATTTTTAATATATTTATGACATACTTTGTATGCTGCATATAATTTTTTACGAAATTTTTTTGCATGCCATAAATTATTATACTTTTCACGACATAATTTTGCATGCCGTAAAAGGTTATTTGTCATATATTTATGACATACTTTATATGTTGTATATAATCTTTTACGATATGTTTTTTTGCAAGCCATAAATCACTACACTTTCCATGGCATAATTTTGCATGCCGTAGAAGGTTGTTTTTAATATATATACATTCATTATGTTGTTTCTATCTCCTACTAGATTTTACCTGTTCTATTCAATTCCTTTCATCATTACGAAATCATTTCTTACTCTATACAACATCAAACAATATTACAAAAAACACATATATATTGATTCAACCAAATCACATGAGAATTTATACAGCCAAAGAACACAATAATAGAAACACAAGAAACTATTTAAAACTGTAAAAGCATACTATGTGCTAAATTTTGAAATTAAATGTATATCATCATATAAAATAGAATCCATACAGGTCCAGATACAGAGGCCCTATGTAGCAGTGACTTTTGATACCATAGTTAACACTTACTCGAAGAGCCATTTTCTTAAGCTTGTTCATATCAGAAAAGTGTGTCAAGCGGCTTAAGACTGCAGGGTCAAGAGGCTTATCGGTGCCACTCCATCAACCTGAACCCAAGGATGGCCTACAAAGAAACCAAAGGCTCATTAATGTGCCATTCCAAATGTCTGTAATAAAGCAATTTCTCAACCACCCCAAAAAAAATATATATATTTGTCATCTGCCTTTCCTCCAAGATTTTAGCATAAAAGTTTTCTCACAATTTTATTGTTTAATCCTATCAAAATCATTTCCTAGAAAAGGAATAGAGTTTTAATATATATATATATGCATATATAAGTAGAGCATTTATAATGAGAGCCCAATCAGTTCAAAGAAAACAAAGATGTGCCCATTACATTTGTTGAGTGGTAAAAAGATTTGATAAGCTAATTCTCTTCATATATATCAACAAAAAGAGGTGAAAAAAATAGAACATAACAACTCACATAGAACTCCATGTGCAGTTTGCCGCTTTTTGGGGTCTTTAACAAGCATTTTCCTGACTAAATCTTTTGCACTTTCAGAGATACCTCTTCAAAGATTTCGTGTTCAGTTTCTGTATCAAAATCGAAAAAAAACACACACACACACATGTATATATATATGTAAAATGAATATGAATGTAATAACCAAATAGCAAAATGAAAGAAAGAAAGAAGGGAAAGGCAAGAAAGGAAAATTATGGCACTTGTTAAGTCTGATAATGAAAAAATCTTACCTGCCCAAAATGCAGAGGAGAATGTAAATCATCACACAAGTACTCCAAACATCTGCTTTTGAACTATAATGCTTATTCAGAACTTCAGGCGCAACATAGCATGGGCTTCCAAACACATCATGGAAAATTTCCCCTGTAATTTAAATTTATTGAAAAAGCTAATATGTATTTTGCTAAGACAATTGATAAAGTAGAGCATGTAATACACATTCTACCAATACTCAAAATGAAAAAAATAATGAAAGGAAAAGTTTCCTTTCAAAAGATTTTGATAAGTTTCCTTTACCAACAATTTTTTTTCCCTATCATGTTATCATAATCTAATTCTATCATGAAAGCACAATTTCAATTTAGTTGTTAGATATAGTTATCATATAAATAATTTGCAGTCGAGAACTATTCATTCGTTTTTACTTCCTTAGGGCTCACAAAGTAGCATCTATATTTTTGTCAGAAAATATGGGAACCTTGAATTAATAACCGAATCTTTCCAAAATTCATTATATTCATTTGTTAATGTAAAGACACATTAAATCAACATGCATACCTACTTCAGCAAGAATCCAAATACAATTCACTTCGTCATCATTTTAGAAATTTGTGCTAATGGACATAGACAAGACAAACAAATCACACAGTTAACCTCAAAATGACCAGCCTTCCTACATTTCCAACATCGCTCAGAGCTATTCCTTCTCAGAACAAACTAACAAAGGACCTATGGGGAGCTTTCCCATCCTCTTGGTCAAAGATTATCCGTCCACCAGCAAATACTTGAGCCGCCAATAAAGAGGATTGTTTAGCTTAAGTGCTCAACCAACAGCTAAAGCCATAAGTAAAAATTTTCAAAACTTACATCCCCCAAACAATCACACCTGCTCAATAATCCTAGTCATTGTGTCAAAATAGCTTGAACCACTTTAGGTGAAAAGCCTTGTGATATGATTTCCCCTTCATCCATATGACACCTCATTACTAGAATGAAATACTATAACTCTTATAAACAATTACAACCCACCAAAGATGCCAATGCTACTAATTTATCAGCAAAATCAAGTTTTTGAACCATACAAAATCACTCAACCCTATGAGCTCCACCATAATCAAATACTAGAATCAACTTCAATGTACAACAACAGAATATGCATTTAATATGAAACTAGACGGGATTATCCTTGGTTTCACTTTGTCATAGATATATGTTTGCCACTTTCAGCACATACAATCTCAATTTAAGGGTAAGGCTGACTTCAATATGATAGAAGTTAAAATATCAGAAGATAATAGAGTGTTAAGGTTATGTAAAAACATACCTAGCTTCTATTACACCAACTATAGTCCCAGCAAGCTCGGCTGCCTTTCTCTCTGTGTAATGCGCTCGCTTGACAATCCTATCAAAGAGCTCATCACCTGTACACAATTCCATCACAACATGAACTGCCATAGCATCCTCATAAGCTCATTTGATTGAGATGACATTGGGGTGCCTATAAAAGTGATGCATGATTTCGATTTCTTTCCTCACATCATCCACATTATCCTTTGTCAGCAACTTCCTTTTTGCAATGAATTTGCAAGCATATTTCTTCCTTGTTGCTTTCTCCACACAGAGAAATGTAGTCCCAAATTGCCCATGTCCTAGTTTTTGCCCCAAATTGTAAAATTCCTTCAGATGACCTGTTTTTGTTTTCAACAGAGACTCTGCTTGCAACCCTGCACTCGCCATCCTCTTGACATTGTGTGCCTTCCTGGGCCTTGTGGGTTGTGCTGGTTTGGTCTCTTCCTTTACCGTTTTCACCGGCTCTGGTATTGTGGGTTTTGCTGGTTTGATCTCTTCCTTCACTATCTTCACTGGTTCTGATATTATGAGTTCTTCTTGTTTAGTCTCTTCTTTTACTATCTTCACCAATTGTGGGGGCTTGTTTTGGACAGATTGAGAACCATCAGGGTCTTTAGCTAATGAAGGCACCTCACTACTAGTAATTTCTCTCTTAGTATAGGGAATCATATCTGGGGATCGCGACCACAACGAATGCGAAATGGATTGAAAGAAACCATCCTTCGAAAACCTTGATCCAACACAGACGTTTCCCATTTATTACTCTCTATTTCCTCCCCAAAGGACACAGTGCTGAAGTCTCAATATCAAAATGGGGTTTTTCTTTCAGTCATGATCAACTCAACTCCGAACAGCAGCGAAATCAATGGGTACTTTTTACAAACAATTGGGGAGCTATTTTACCCAGTAATTTTTCAACTCAATCCATCAAATAACAAGATTGAACACAATAATCAGCAAAAAAAAATTTTTTTTTTTAAATTAAAAGCTTTAAAATCCCATTGGACCAAACCTTTGAATCGATAACTAAAATACATGATTTAAGCTCTAATCATAGAAAAACTCGAAACTAGGGTTTCAATTTCGAAAATTTAAATCGATAAAGAAGAGAGAATAGATATAGAAATTACCTTGAGAATACGAAGGTCGAGACTTCGCAAGTGTCTTCAATGGGAGAGGGATCAAGAGAGAGAGAGAAAGAGAGAGAGAGCAAGAATTGGAGAGAGAAAGAACGAACCTGAATCTAGAGCAAAAGAGACCCAATCAATAATGGAGACGGAGATGGAGCACTGTTTAAATAGTCGATTTGTTATGTTTGTTGTATATGAGAGAGGAGACCTAACTAATTATCACTGTGTCTAAATAGGGACCTCGACCTTGACCTCTTCGACTGTGTCTCCATTCTTAACCTCCTCCCCTTCTTCTTCTTCTTCAGCTTCTAGGTCATCGTTGTTGTCCTCTTCTTCTACATCTTGTTCTTTGTCTGAAAAGAATACACTAAACCATAAAATCCCATTGGGTGCAATTATCCCATAAAAGAATACACTAAACTATAAAAGTAATGTATAAATTATTTTTTATGTTGTCCTTAATTAGGAAAATTTAAGATGAGAAGCTTGATTGGAAATTGCTAGTTTTTTTAAATTAAAAACAAATAATCGGATTGAAATTTTTTTTAATAAAAGTTTTCACGACATGCTAATGCATGCCGTGTAAAGTTATAATGTTTTACGACATGAAATGTATGTCGTCTTAAGTGTAAATATTTTACAACATATTTTTGTATGCCGTGAAAATACACATTTTTTATGGCATATTTTTGCATGCCATAAAAAATCAGATTATTTTTTTTTATAAGCCGTGAAAATATACATTTTTTACGGCATACTTTTGCATGTCATAAAAAATCGAATTGATTTTTTTTTTTTAATAGAAGTTTTCAGAACATGTTAATGCAAGCCATATAAAGTTATAATATTTTACAACATGAAATTTATGTCGTCTTAAGTGCAAATATTTACAACATATTTTTGTAAGTTGTGAAAATATATATATTTTACAGCATACTATTGTATGCCATAACTATATGAATCAGTAAGCCATAACTATATGAATTAATGACTTACATGGTATGTATGTCCTTATTGAAAAAATGTTAACAACTTGCAAAAAAAAAAAAATAAAAAAAAATTATAAAATGTACTAATTACAACATGCATTTGATGAATGTTATAAACTTAAAGTTGTAAATAGTTAGTTTTGTTGTAGTGCCTGTGGTTTGGAAAATTACAAATACTTCCATGTCCGAATTTTTTATTTAACATAATTAATTGAAAAAGTGAAATTTCTAACTGTTCACCTATATAATAAAAAAATTATCTAAATTATTAATTGAAATAAAAATTTAACATTATTAAAAACTGTTAATTAACTTAATGATTTATTAATAAATGGACCTATTTGTTATGAAATTAGAAACCATAAGGGGCATAATGTAATTTCTAGAGCTACAGAGGTAATTTGTAATTTAAGTAAATCTCAAGGGGTGTGTTCGTAATTTTTCCAAAATTTTATTATGTATTAGATTGGTTCAGAGAATTCTAAAATATATTGAAAGAATAAGAGTATCTTTGAATATTGTAAAAGCCTAATAATGGCCTTTAGATCAAATTGATCCTAGTTATCCATTGAAGATGTAGATGGCTATATAAAGGCAAGAGACCTCATAAGTGTAAGTGATTCTAACCAAAGTGTCCTAGAGTGCTTTTGTTATGTACTTTCGCTCAGTGTGAATAAAAATGTCATATTTTTGTGTGTTTTTATAGCAATCCCGGTTTTGACCCGACCCTTGTTGTATCCTGGGCTCGAGTTTCATGATTCTATATTAGTGCTCTTGTCTCTTTTTCCCTTTTTCCTCATTGAAATTGAGTTTTGGAGTGCCTTGGTTGTGTTTGGAATAAGTTGGTTGCTAATTGGTTCAAATTGTTGTCGTCCAGTTTTTGGCCTTTTCACTCGAGCGAAGCTTCTTGTGCCCAAGCAAGCTTTGCAAGCTCCCAGTACTTTTGCAGGCCTGCAAATATACTGGAATGGTATTGTTCTTCGCTCGAGTGAAGACTCTTGCAGTCGAGCGACAGTCTTCTATTTATAAAACTTCTAGGAGTGTGTATTATGCGCTCGAGCGAGGTGACTTATTTGTGTCTGGTCGCTCGAGTGACAACTCTTGCGCTTGCTCATCTGGTGAGCTGCATGTATATCAGTTCGCAGTAACACCTTTTTACTTCACTTTTTCATACATTTTGTTCCAATAACCTTAGATCAGGACCTCCTCTCTCTAAAACTCTCTCTCTCTCTCTCTCTCTCTACATTTTTCACCTAGATCTAGTGGGTTCTCTACCCGTGTCCCTTTGTTAAAAAGGTAGTATGTCTCAAGAGCTCCATTTTGATCCGATTAAAGCTTGGTTTCGGCGTTCTTGAAGCTCCTCCATTTCTTCCTTTGGTCTTCTAAGCTTGAGGTAAAGATTTTCTATACTTTCATATGTATTTTAACTTATTTATGAGTTTGTGTAACAATAGTGGAATTTGGGTGTACTATGAACACACCTAGGGTTTGGGTATTAAATCAAAAAGGGGGGGGGTTTCTAAGTGAATGAGTTATGAATGGTTATGGGGTTGAATGTGACGTTATATTGTGACAAAATAATTGATTTTGACATTTGAGTTGATAAATAGGAAATAGGGAGTTTGCCCTAAGATGCTTCAAATATTTATTTCATATAAATAAATAGAATTCGTATTGAAAATGTGAAATTGAATGGATGTTGACATAAATGGTGAAGAAGAATATGTATTATCACTCACCTATGAAATTTTGAATAAATTATTTGTTTTGAGATTGAATATCTATTAGAAATACCTGTATTGGGCTATCGGTGGAGGATAGCTATGATTGTTGTAAAAATTGCATGAGGATTAGGTGAATTGAAACTAATCTCTTGTTGGTTGTCATTGAATATGGCTATGTTTTAAATACATTGTATATGTATGATGTTTGGAAGGAGAAAGAGGATGGACTCCATTGAATTAAGTTGGCATGTGTGTCCACGGTGAAAGTCCCGAAACCGCGCGTATACATGGGTGTTGATTCCCGCGGACGAAATTTCTGTAAAATGGCAAATTAAAGTGTTTGCATGATTGTTGTGTTAATTAGAGAACCTTTGAGTTGCAGTCTCAGTTTGGTGTTTGGAAAATAATGAAATTGGCTCATGACTTGAGATGAAATGAATTGATTCGAATTGAATTGAAGAATAATGCATTGAGATATAAAATTTGGTACTTTATGATCTTATGGAATATGAATGACTTGTCACAGGCATTGTAAATGCACATTGTACTTATGCCTTTGTTAAGACTCATATTTTGTGATAGATTATTTCCACTGGGCTTTGGCTCACCCTACCTGGGAAAAACTATTTTCAGGTGTTGGTGACATGCCTCTGCCAAGGCTACTTGGGAGGAAAAAGGGCTGAAGGCTTCTCTTTTTGTATCGTGCTAATTGTTTTAAATTCTAGCCAAGGGCTTTATATGTATTTGTTAGGTTTTTATTCTTAGCAATCCCGTTCGACAAAACTCCTTTCAGTTGTAATTTTGTTCAACTTTTATTTCAGTAAGGTTATAAGTTTTTAGATGTGAATCCAACTTGAATTGTGCCTTGTAGAGATGTTTCAAAAGTTAATTCTTTCATGTTTGCCACTTCGCTGACTATGTCGGGGGTCGAGGGAATAGTGCCCCTTGGCGGGTCCGAGGTAGCGCCCAGGCGGGGTCGAGGGGCAGTGCCCCCGAAGCAAAAGGTAAAATTGCAGTTGAAGTTGTTTGTCTGCTCAAGTGGCCATTCTTGTGCTCGAGTAGAGATCGCGACCTTTCAGAAGTTTCACTCACTTGCAAAAGTACCGGTAGTTGTTTTTTCCCGCTCGAGCGACCATCCCTGTGCTCGAGCATAGATCCGCATGAGTGGCCATTCTTGCGCTCGAGCGGAGATCGTGGATCTGTTTTCTATAAATATGTGTTTCAGTTTGATTTTAAGGTACGGCTTCCAGATCTTCTTATTGGGTATTAGGGTTTTCATCTAGAGCTTCTTTGCTAGTTTCTTTGATGCTTGTTTGAGTTTAGCTCATGGTTTGAGAAGTATACATCAAAAGATTGTTTGTTTCATTCAATACAAAAGAGAGAGTTATTCTTCGGTGAGTTCTGGGAAATTTGGGCCTGAAGCTTTGGTGGATTTTGGAGTGGCTCATTGTCGTGGATTTGACATCAGTGTTGTGGATTCAATGTTGGGCAAGACAATTCTGAGGTGAAGACCGTGGTGGAAGAGGCATATAGGGGTCGGTTCAGTTCGGACGTAGACTCGCTAGGTAATTAAGAGTACACTTGTGTAATTCCTTTTGTTTTCTTAGTGGATTGTTTTGTGGCTTTGGCCCGTGATTTTTTTTTAATCACAATTGGAGGCGCTCCAGTTGTGGTTTTTCCACATTAAAATCGTTGTGTCGATTTGTCTTGATTGTTTAATTATGATTTTTATTTACTGGTTAAAATTGATACATAATCATAAATCAATATCTAGGGGATTTCAAGATTTTTCAATATTGGATTTGTATCCATTTTGTTGTAACCAAGCATGGCCTTGGAAAGATGTAAGCCATTAGGACATGTGAATATCTGTTGACTTTCATTTCTTTGTCACTTGTAACACATGCTGTAGATTCAGGATGAGCCATTTATGAATGTATATTGCATGTGTCATCTTTTGTATACGGACTCTGATGAATGAAAGTATATTGCTTCTATTATTCTTCTCCGTATGAGTTGGGATTTATTGTATTTATTTGGGGTGTTATAGTTTTTGTACACAAAAGTTTTTTTATTTTTTATTTTTTTGATAAACAAAAAATGGAAGCCTTTTATTAGATATATTAAACGAAATACATCAATAAGGACTAGGGAAAAACATAAATTGCATCACAACGAACCCAACTCATCCCAACT